TCTACGGGTTGGCTTTTTTTTGTTTTCCTTTCCTTTTGGGTGTTACGACGCGACTCATCATCAAGAGGCGCGAAAAGGATTGTAGAATCAATCATTGCAATCCCTACTATGGAGTTCAAGCAGGCACTGCACCCAAGATCGACACTCTGCTATAGAGCAGTTTGTCTCCATTCTGTTTGACGATTTCCGTACTTCATAGGTTATACAAGTATATCCTCGTAGGAACGCTTTTTTTAAGAATGTTATTTTAATGCGTTGTTCATGTGAAGAAAAAAAGAAAAAGGAAAAGGAGGAAGCCGCGACGAAGCGCGGGTTTTGTAGGGTGTGTGGGTGGTCTGTGCATAGATCATGTGATCGATAGGCGAACTTCTTTGCCGATGCAAGCTGTAATGAGTAAGCTACTCTTATGCACCTAGCATAATTGAGCTAAGTACTAGTTAGTTACAGTATGAGCCTTACTTTGCGCACACCTGAAAAGGCAAGGCCAGTGTCCGGCCCGGGGGGGGCACCACAGTTACCCACAGTGGCACAGAGGTGTGATGATCTATCAGATGCTTTCCACTTAGTTAATTACTAGTTACAGCACTGAGTTAGTAATCGCCACTGACAGTCATCCACTCCAGGTCCGAAAGCGGCGAAGCACCCCGCGGCGGGAACAGTGACTGAGCAGTGATGAAGCAACCTAGAAAGAAGATGGGCACTTTTTACCCCTCCCTCAGCTTCCCTATTTTTTTACCTCTTGGAGCTATCTGGAACCATTTGCACCTGAGCCACACCTGGCAAACTCCTTACCACCCCGTTCCTGATCCCCTGGAGTTTTTCAATTGATCTCTACTCTTCACTCCTTTCCCCAAAGCTCAACATCTTGTCTTTCCCGCGGAGTTTGAGGTATGTGCTACTACTCTTTCCCGGCACTAGACTAGCCCATCGGAACTTCCCAAGTTCCAATTGATCCATTCGACCTGGAGGGGTGGAGGGGTTGTGGGGGGGCACTCCTCCTAACCTGAACATTTTTCTCCCCTCCAGCATCGCTCCTCTTCATCTCTGACTTCTCTACTCCCAGTGTCTGTCTCACTGTCAGTGTCTCTCTCTCTCAGGATGTCTCAACAAAAGTCTGGTGAGTTTGAAACGTTCTGCCCACTGCTCTGCCCTCTCCCACTCGGTATCCCCGGGTGCAGCAGCTTCACGGTCCGCTTCGCAATGGAAATGGGCCGGTCGCTGTCTCCACATCGGGGCATTGTCTGTTGCTTTGCTTGTTGATTGATTGAAGTTCAAGGCTGACTTGAGACCATTGTGTGCCATTGATAGCCATCCTCTCCGTCTACGATAAGACTGGTCTGCTCGACCTGGCCAAGGGCCTCGTCAAACAGAATGTCCGGTTGCTTGCCTCCGGTGGTACGGCGCGGTTGATTCGGGAGGCGGGCTTCCCTGTCGAGTGAGTCATCATACTGATGTGGTCATGAACGGGCCTTATTCTCTTCCGTTGTTTTCAGCAAGAGGTAGAGCTGATGGCCGATTAGAGATGTCTCCGCCATCACTCATGCGCCGGAGATGCTGGGTGGTCGTGTCAAGACTCTCCACCCTGCTGTCCACGGTGGTATCCTGGCTCGTGACATCGAGTCCGACGAGAAGGATCTGGCCGACCAGAACATCTCCAAGGTCGACTTCGTTGTCTGCAACCTGTACCCCTTCAAGGAGACGGTGAAGAAGGTCAACGTCACCATCCCCGAAGCCGTCGAGGAGATCGACATCGGTGGTGTGACTCTCCTCCGTGCTGCGGCCAAGAACCACGCCCGTGTGACTATCCTCTCCGACCCCCAGGATTACCCTGAGTTCCTCAAGGAGCTGGAGGCCGGTGATATCACCGATGCCAGTCGCAAGTCCTATGCCCTCAAGGCCTTCGAGCACACCGCCGACTACGACACTGCCATCTCCGGCTTCTTCCGCAAGGAGTATGCTGGCAACGGCGACAAGTACCTGGCTCTCCGCTACGGTACCAACCCCCACCAGAAGCCTGCCTCTGCCTACATGGTTGAGGGCAAGCTTCCCTTCAAGGCCCTGAACGGATCTCCCGGTTACGTCAACCTCCTGGACGCCCTCAACGCCTGGGCTCTGGTCAAGGAGCTCAAGCAGGCCTTGGGCTACCCTGCCGCTGCCAGCTTCAAGCACGTTTCCCCCGCCGGTGCAGCTGTCGGTGTCCCCTTGAACGAGAAGGAGCGTAAGGTCTACATGGTTGATGACATTCCGGGTATCGAGACCTCTGGCTTGGCTCAGGCTTATGCTCGTGCCCGTGGGGCCGACCGTATGTCCAGCTTCGGTGACATTCTGGCTCTGAGTGACATTGTCGATGTTCCCACTGCGAAGATCGTCTCCCGTGAGGTCTCTGACGGTGTCATCGCCGCCGGCTACACCCCCGAGGCTCTGGAGATCCTCTCCAAGAAGAAGGGTGGCAAGTACCTTGTTCTCCAGATGGACGAGAACTATGTTCCGGCTGCCGAGGAGACTCGCACGCTGTACGGTGTGCAGCTCTCCCAGCACCGCAACGATGTCGTCATCTCTCCCCAGAAGACCTTCAACACCATCATCACTCCTAAGGACTTGAAGGCTCTTCCTGACTCCGCCCTGCGCGATCTTACCGTCGCCACCATCGCGCTGAAGTACACTCAGTCCAACTCTGTGTGCTATGCTCTGAACGGCCAGGTCATCGGTCTCGGTGCTGGCCAGCAAAGCCGTATCCACTGCACTCGTCTGGCTGGTGACAAGGCCGACAACTGGTGGATGCGCTTTCACGACCGTGTGCTGAACATCAAGTGGAAGCAGGGCACCAAGCGTGCCGATAAGAGCAATGCTATTGACCTGCTCTGCTCGGGTCAGACCCCTCGCAACGAGGCCGAGCGTGTGGAGTATGAGCGTGTGTTCGAGGAAGTCCCCGCCCCTTTCACCGCGGAGGAGCGTGAGTCTTGGCTGCAGAAGTTGAGCGAGGTTGCTGTCTCCTCTGATGCTTTCGTAAGTTGATCCCAATCTTCCGTGACATGGCACTTGTCAACTAACAATGGACGCAGTTCCCCTTCATTGACAACGTCTTCCGTGCCGCCCGCTCGGGTGTGAAGTACATTGCTGCTCCCAGCGGTAGCCAGAACGACCGTCCCGTCTTCGAAACCTCTGAGAAGCTGGGTATTGTTTTTGTTGAGCAGGGTACCCGTCTGTTCCACCACTAACGTGACATGGATGGGGCGGGTCCATGCCAAACAATCGCACCTGTGATGGTTGTGTTTTTATGATGATTTATACCTGAAACTGTGATGATCAAAGGCCTGCAATAGCGATATCCCAATTTTAAAAAGTGCCTTGTTATGAGACCGATGTGCACGGCGTCGAGGCGTAGAGTTGTATCTTGCTTAGAATCATCTGCCAAGACACTTGTATCGCAGCGCAGGATCTGCAGGCTAGGAACAAGCCCGAGGCTGTACACTCCCTTGCCGTAGATGCATAGATTCCACGTGGTTCGGCAAATTTGCCGGGTAGGTTCCATCGAACCCGACGAATGTAGCGCATGGACAGAGTTGCCATGAATACCTATCGAGTGGTCTGATGATGTTACTCGTGAGTTTTGACTCTGTTCCCTTTATCCTCCTTGTTCTAAAATCTGAGAGAGGAGAGAAGATGACCTATCTTGGAGTTCATTGCGATGTGACTGCGGGTTTTTACTACCGCAGCTATCATCCACAATGCTTGGCGGAGAACGAAATGCAGTTTGCCAATTTGCTGCTTCTGGATGTCTACATTTACTGCTGCTTGTTCTCGGTGGCAGCTTGTTGGAGCTTTCCTCATATCTCAAGTAGGTGGGTGCCTGTGTCTACGGATTGTTCGATTATATAGTATCTTGGTCACTTGTATATATATATCTCCCACTTTCGAAGGGATAGGATTTGTTTGTGTAGGTCGCTGAGGGTCGAAGTGACGACTCCCTCCCTCAATGCACTGAGCTAATTCACAGATTATCTCTGTACCCATGATTCCAATATCATAAATCTGATATTGGCTTATTCACACAGTTTCACGGTGATAGATTTGATTGTGGTGAACAGCGCTGGTCTCGGCCCCGTTGCTGACGTCATCGATGTTGTGGCTCGTTCGGATGGAACCGGCCATGTGGCTTTCATGTCCTGCCCAGGCCTTAGAGATGGCCTGGGGGACGAGATTGAGCCATGCCAATTGAGTCTGGAATTTGAAGCACTCTAGGAGGTTCTTTATATATCGATATCTATTTGTATTTCGCAACTCACTACTGAGTACAAACTGAGTGATAGCTGATAAACAAACTCTGGTCCAGAGACCTTGCCAGAACCCTTAGCTTAGTTGATTTCCATGAGGTGAGTATGGTATAGAGATATCGCATTTGCGTGTTATGATTCGGTTACTTAGAGACTCTTGAGTGAATGTCAATTGGCCTCTTGATTACTATATGCGCTTGTTCTTTGACAAAGTATCCTGATGGCTTACTTTCTCACCACACTCTTCACTGGCAGGCAACCGGAATAGATTGAGCCATTGAGGGTGCCACATGAGGGCTCTGGGAAAGAGAAAGTCATGAATACATCGAGCGACTTGCCTCAAGTTGATTCAAGAAATTCAAGACCCTCAGCCTTGGTGAGATTGAAATAGTCTGATAATCAAAATCAGGCACGGGCTGGAACAGCCCCCCCCCCCCTGTGGTGACAACACGTGACGGCCGCCATAAGCGACACCTCAGCAACGACACCCGCGCCGGCCTCCTGAGGTCACTTCCGCTTCCCCAGTTTACCTCTCCTCCTCCCCCCCTCCTCCCAATCCCTACTTACTCGCAACCTCTCTTTCCTCCCTCTTTCTAATTTTCCACGTCTCCTCCTCTCCCCCTCAATTCCTCACTTGTCGCCTTTCTTTCCCTTCACTATCCGGTCATTTTCTTTGCGTGGCGTTCTGTTGGGTGGATGAGGTCGTCCCTGCGGCCTTAGGTAAATATGGCTCCTCTACCGATCAAGTTCACGGAGCTCCTTAATGTAAGTCCTCCTGTGTCCGGCCGACAAGCTGAACTTGCGCGAGAAACATGAGCTAATCTATTTGTCTGTCTGACGGACAGTTGACAACGGCTGAAATTGCGGTATGTGTTATTGCTTTGTTGGGCAACCACCCTTAGTCCGATCTGCGAACGCGCCCGCCGACGACACTCCGTTCCTGACCCCAGCCATTGCTCGCCTGCGTACTGACTCAATTTCATTTCCGGATCTAGCCTGCGTCCATTGGTTTCAACTCTTGCGTAAGTTGTTCCATCTTCGTCCTATCAATACCACCTCGCACCAGTACTGTCGCTTGCTAACACTTTGGCCTCCCTGGACAGACTCTAGAATCAGACCACTATGTGTGTGTCCGGCAAAAGCTCGATGAGGACGACAAGCCCCAGGTCATCATCATCAACCTGAAGAACAACAATGAGGTCATCAAGCGACCGATCAACGCGGACAGCGCTATCATGCACTGGGACCGCAATATCATCGCCCTCAAGGCCCAGGGTCGCACGATCCAGATCTTTGATCTGGCGGCGAAGCAGAAGCTGAAGTCGTCGGTGATGAATGAGGATATCGTGTACTGGAAGTGGTTCAGCGAGAAGTGTCTGGGTCTGGTCACGGAACAGTCCGTATACCACTGGGATGTCTTTGACCCGACTCAGACACAACCTCTGAAGATCTTTGACCGTCTTCCCAACCTCAGTGTAGGTATCTCTGAGCTTGTGACATAGGTTTCCAATGGGACTAACAGCATCGCGACTAGGGATGTCAAATTATCAACTACCGCGTCAACGAAGATGAGAAGTGGATGGTAGTGGTCGGAATCAGCCAGCAGCAGGGACGTGTGGTGGGCTCGATGCAGCTCTATTCCAAGGAGCGCGGAATCTCCCAATTCATCGAGGGTCATGCTGCTGCCTTCGCTTCCATTCGGGTCGAAGGCTCCCCGCTCGAGCACAAGCTGTTCACCTTCGCCGTCCGAACGCCGACCGGTGCCAAGTTGCAGATCGCCGAGATCGACCACCAGGAGCCAAACCCACGGTTCCAGAAGAAGGCAGTGGAGGTATACTTCCCTCAGGAGGCTGTCAATGACTTCCCTGTCGCCATGCAAGTTTCCAAGAAGTACGACATCGTCTATCTCGTCACGAAGTACGGCTTTATTCACCTCTACGATCTTGAGACCGGCACGTGCATCTTCATGAACCGGATTTCCAGCGAAACCATCTTCACCACTGCCCCTGATTCCGACTCTGCTGGTCTGGTCGGTGTTAACCGCAAGGGCCAAGTTCTGTCCGTTAGTGTCGATGAGAGCAACATCATCCAGTATCTGATGGAGAACCCCGCCATGTCCGGCCTCGCAGTCAAGCTTGCTTCTAAGGCAGGTCTTCCTGGAGCGGATCACCTCTATCAGCAGCAGTTCGACAACCTGATCGCCCAAGGAAATTTCTCCGAGGCCGCCAAGATTGCTGCGAACTCGCCCCGCGGTTTCCTCCGCACCCCGGAGACCATCAACCGCTTCAAGAACGCCCCCCAGACGGGTCAGATGTCTGTCATTCTCCAATACTTCGGTATGCTGCTGGACAAGGGCTCCCTGAACAAGTACGAGAGTGTGGAGCTGGTCCGCCCTGTCTTGCAGCAGAACAGGAAGCACCTTCTTGAGAAGTGGATGCGCGAAAACAAGTTGGAAGCCTCCGAAGAGCTTGGTGATATTGTCCGTCCTTACGACATGAACCTGGCCCTGTCTATCTATCTCCAGGCCAATGTATCTCAGAAGGTCATTGCCGGGTTTGCTGAGACGGGCCAGTTTGACAAGATCCTCGCCTACTCGAAGCAGGTTGGCTACCAGCCGGATTACACCCAGCTGCTGCAGCACATCGTTCGTGTGAACCCCGAAAAGGGTGCCGAATTCGCTACGCAGCTCGCCAACGAGGAGTCGGGAGCTCTCATCGATCTCGACCGCGTTGTCGATGTGTTCCTGTCCCAGAACATGATCCAGCAAGCCACTTCGTTCCTTCTCGATGCCCTGAAGGATAACAAGCCCGAGCATGGCCATCTTCAGACTCGTTTGCTCGAGATGAACCTTGTCAACGCCCCCCAGGTTGCTGATGCCATTCTTGGCAATGAGATTTTCACGCACTACGACCGTCCTCGGATCTCCCAGCTTTGCGAGAATGCTGGCCTCATCCAGCGTGCTCTTGAAAACACCGAGGACCCGGCGGCCATCAAGAGGAATATTGTTCGTACCGACAAATTGAGCCCCGAGTGGTTGATGGAATACTTCGGCAAGCTGTCCGTTGAGCAGACGCTTGACTGCATGGACACCATGTTGCAGGTTAACATCCGCCAGAATCTGCAAGCCGTTGTCCAGATCTGTACCAAGTTCTCTGACCTCCTTGGCCCCTCTCGCTTGATTGCCTTGCTGGAGAAATACCGTACCGCCGAGGGTCTTTACTATTACCTTGGCAGTATTGTTAACCTTAGCGAAGACCCTGAGGTGCACTTCAAGTACATCGAAGCTGCCACTGCTATGAACCAGATCACGGAAGTGGAGCGCATCTGTCGCGAGAGCAACTACTACAACCCCGACAAGGTTAAGAACTTTTTGAAAGAGGCCAAGTTGACCGAGCAGCTTCCGCTGATCATTGTGTGCGATCGCTTCAACTTCATCCACGACTTGGTTCTCTACCTCTACCAGAACCAGCAGTACAAGTCTATCGAGGTTTACGTTCAGCGTGTCAACCCCTCGCGTGCGCCCGCTGTCGTCGGTGGTCTGTTGGATGTCGACTGTGACGAGAGCATCATCAAGAACCTTCTCTCTACTGTTGACCCGGCTGTGATCCCCATCGACGAGCTTGTTTCCGAGGTGGAGAGTCGCAACCGGTTGAAGTTGCTTCTGCCCTTCCTTGAGGCTACCCTTGCGACGGGTAACCAGCAGCAAGCCGTCTACAACGCATTGGCCAAGATTTACATCGACAGCAACAACAATCCCGAGAAGTTCTTGAAGGAGAACGACATGTATGACACTTTGACCGTCGGAAAGTACTGCGAGAAGCGGGATCCCAACCTCGCATACATTGCCTACCGTAAGGGACAGAATGATCTCGAGCTCATCAACATCACCAACGAGAATGCCATGTACCGTGCTCAGGCGCGCTACCTTGTTGAGCGGGCTGATCCCGAGATCTGGTCCTTTGTCCTGAGCGAGAACAACCAGCACCGTCGCTCCTTGGTCGATCAAGTCATTGCCACTGCAGTGCCCGAGTCGACTGAGCCGGACAAAGTGTCCGTCGCCGTCAAAGCCTTCCTTGAGGCTGATCTTCCCGGTGAGCTGATTGAGCTTCTGGAGAAGATTATCCTCGAGCCCTCGCCTTTCAGTGACAATGGCAGTCTCCAAAACCTGCTGATGTTGACTGCTGCTAAGGCCGACAAGAGCCGTTTGATGGATTACATCCACCAGCTTAACGAATTTAGCCCCGACGAGATTGCCGAGATGTGTATCTCAGTTGGACTGTACGAGGAGGCTTTCGAGATTTACAAGAAGGTCAACAACTTCCTTGCTGCTGTTAATGTCCTGGTTGAGAACATTGTCAGCATTGACCGTGCTCAAGAGTTCGCTGAGCGTGTTGAGTTGCCTGAGGTCTGGAGCAAGGTGGCCAAGGCGCAACTCGATGGTCTCCGTATCTCTGACTCGATTGAATCGTACATCCGTGCTGGTGATCCCTCTAACTACCTTGAGGTCATCGAGACCGCCACCCACGCTGGCAAGGATGAGGATCTCGTCAAGTTCTTGAAGATGGCCCGCAAGACACTGCGTGAGCCTGCCATTGATACCGGTCTCGCTTTCTGCTACGCCCGCCTTGACCAGCTCGCCGAGCTAGAGGACTTCCTACGGACCACTAATGTGGCCGATATTGAAGCCTCTGGTGACAAGGCCTACGAAGAAGGATACCACCAGGCTGCCAAGATCTTCTACACCAGTATCTCCAACTGGGCCAAGTTGGCAACCACCCTGGTTCACCTGGAAGACTACCAGGCGGCCGTGGAGTGCGCCCGCAAAGCGAACAGCGTCAAGGTGTGGAAGGAAGTCAACGAGGCTTGCGTGAACAAGAAGGAATTCCGTCTCGCCCAGATTTGTGGTCTGAACCTGATCGTCCATGCAGAAGAGCTTCAGGACCTTGTTCGTCAATATGAGCGTAATGGATACTTCGATGAGCTCATTGCGGTCTTGGAAGCCGGTTTGGGTTTGGAGCGTGCTCACATGGGCATGTTCACCGAGCTGGGCATTGCGCTGTCCAAGTACCATCCTGACCGCGTCATGGAGCACCTCAAGCTCTTCTGGTCCCGCATCAACATCCCCAAGATGATCCGGGCCTGCGAAGAAGCGAGTCTGTGGCCTGAGTTGGTCTTCTTGTACTGCCACTACGACGAATGGGACAACGCAGCCCTGGCTATGATGGAGCGTGCTGCCGACGCCTGGGAGCACCACTCTTTCAAGGACATCATTGTCAAGGTTGCGAACTTGGAGATCTACTACCGCGCCCTCAACTTCTATCTCCAGGAGCAGCCATTGCTGCTGACCGACTTGCTCCAGTCCCTCACCTCCCGCGTCGATGTCAACCGTGTTGTGCGCATCTTCCAGTCCTCAGACAACATCCCTCTCATCAAGCCCTTCCTGCTCAACGTCCAGACCCAGAACAAGCGGGCAGTGAACGATGCGATCAATGACTTGCTGATTGAGGAGGAGGACTACAAGACGCTCCGCGACTCCGTGGACAACTACGATAACTTTGATGCCGTGGCCCTCGCACAACGGCTGGAGAAGCATGACCTGATCTTCTTCCGCCAGATCGCCGCCAACATCTACCGCAACAACAAGCGCTGGGAGAAGTCGATTGCACTGTCGAAGCAGGACAAGCTCTACAAGGATGCCATTGAGACTGCCGCTATCTCCGGCAAGTCGGAGGTGGTTGAAGAACTCCTTCGCTACGTAAGTCTCTATTCTTTCCCAACAAGTATTGAATCCATTGACTAACCGAGACCTTAGTTTGTGGATATTGGCAGCCGCGAGTGTTACGTTGGTATGCTGTATGCCTGCTACGATCTGATCCGCCCGGATGTGATCATGGAACTGTCGTGGCGCCACGGGCTGCACGATTTCACGATGCCGTTCATGATCAACTTCCTGTGCGAGCAGACGCGGGCGATCGAGATGCTGAAGAAGGACAACGAGGAGCGGAAGGCCCGGGAGAAGACGCAGAAGGTGGAAGAGGACAACACCCCCATTCTGGGCGGCTCGCGGTTGATGTTAACGCAGGGCCCGGCGGCGCCGGCACCCGCGCCCATGGGGTACGCCAATGGAATCACGCCGCAGGCGACTGGATTCCGCCCCTTCTAAACGTACGACTTGTCATGCCTTTCTTTCCGAGGGGTTAGTGTATGTATAGCATGAGCGATGGGAAGCTTTGCGGCCAGACTTAGTTCGCTGTTTTCTGGGTCGGATGCTTCGGAGCCCCCTTCTGTTACTTGATGATCTTCTCGTTCTTATTCTCCATTTATTGAGTGGTTCTTTTTCTTCTTTTTCTCCTCCTCCTTCTTCTCCTCCTGATGTATTTCGATTGGCCTTCAAAATTAGGTGACTTGTCTCGTGGGTGGACCCGGGAGGGTTCCCGTAATTTATCTTAGTACAATGGGATTATTGACTTCATGACGGTGATCGATGGAAATTTGTGAATTTACTGTCCAGTAGGACTACTAGAGGTGGTATGTACTGTAGGTACCCAGTACTACGTAGTAGTATTGGTAGTCGATCACCGGAACAGGAGGCCGGCTTGCCTCGTGACTTGGACAGCGGGTAAGACAGCCGTCAATAGTGATGAACTATCGGTGCTCCAACTTCCAAGAAAGGGATCGACGATCTCGGCAGATGCAGCCGCAGCTGGAGGGCGGCCGCCGGGGTTAGGCTCGGTATCTTGTTCCGCTTAGGGATTCTGCTCAAACGTATAGGTTCGTTCATACGTAGTTCATAGATGTTCGGCGAAAAGGAACCAGGCCCGGAGGGAAGCTGGTGGTGGTGGTGGCTGCTGCTGCTGCGGCGTGCAGGTAAAGGATTTAGCCCCCCGCGACTCGACTGTGGTGGGTGGTGGTGGATGATGGAAGTTGTGGGGGTGGGAGTGGGAGTGGGACAGGGATGCCCGTGTACTCGACGGGGAGAATAAGGATTTATCCTGGATTCCTGGTAGTCTACGGACGGAAGGGAGATGGATTGATTTTCCTGAGTGGTCGTTGCAATTGTTCTTTTTCTAGATTGAAGCATTACTCATGGAAGCCGATCGGACCGGATTAGAAGATGAGAGTAGATACGTAGGTGCCACTTCGAAGAGCGCCGCGGGGCGCGTTTGGGTTTCCTTAAGGGCTAGGCTGGTTGTTGTTGTTGGGTTCGGGACAGAGAGATCCGGAGATACTTGGTCACTTGCTGCTGTAGATGATACACGGCTACGATAGCTGCATGACTTTCTTTTCTTCAAGACCATGGAAAAGGTTGGAAACCTATCCAAACCATCGACTGACTACCCAGGGCCTGGAATCTGGCTCATGCTCCTGGAACAACCGACTTGCGCCAAGAAGGGTGACCTGACCGGCTACAACTCCGTCCTTCGGTGAAGGGAGGGAAAGCTAGGGAACGAAGGGCATTCTTGTCCCGGTGGCACAAAACGGAGACGGGGGGACCGGTGGACGATCCGGGAAGTCTTGTAAGTTGCACACGCTCTGGGATTTTTTTTTTCGGGGGGCGGGGGAAGTAAAAACGGACGACGATGGTCGGGTTACAGCTTCTTCTGATCAATCAGTGAAGTGCCATTGGGGGGATAATTTTTTTCTTTCTTCTCGGGGTACTGTGCTGTTCGGACATGTGTGGATGGTGCATGGAGGCCGAGGGATGGGATGGGATCATGTATACGGAGCAGATGGTTGTGGGATGAACTGTACAGTAGTAGGTGGTCGTTATCACCGGAGCAATAGTCTCGAGCCAAGCAGAATTTCTTTTGTTGTTCTTTTCCACGGCTCATGTCTGGATCGACCATCTGGTCCTATCAAACCACTTGGCATGTTGCAAGATTGTGTTTCCTCGGCATTAGCGCGGACGGAAAGGGATGCCCGTTCGTTGTTTGTTCGGCGATGTGATGGTTCATGTTCTTGGTGGTGGGGTGGGGGGGTGTCTGTCTGTCACCTTGGGAGGTCGAAGCGGGAGGAGAAAGCCTGGAGGGGCCCAGGGAGGAGGAGGAGGGAGGGAGAGGCTGGGCCGAGCGGGCATGCGCGGGACGATCTGCGCTGCGCTGCGCTGCGCTGCCCTCTTCGCCTATTCACGGGGGTCGATGGGGATGATCTCACTGCGCCGCCCTCCTGTTCACATAACCTCATAACGAGAGGGAAACAATTAACCCGAGCACCCGAGGTTCACGATCGCTATGGAGGGTCGTCCTATTTCACCCGAGAGAGGTGGTCTATGCCCCGGCCAGCTCTGATGTAAATCTGGGGTTCTGTTTATGGAGGTGAGGGCAGACTGTGTGGTTTTTATTGTACCTGGTACATCATAGATTATTAGTCTAGGTTCTGAAGGTGGCGGATGTCTGGTAATCTCTCTTGGTGGGGAGGGGCAAATCTGCTTATCATTTGTCTTGGGAGGACGAGTACGTTAATTCAATAGTCATAAGCCGAATAACCAATGAATTCACCGGACGAACGGAGGGTGAATTGCGAGGAAAGTAGGCAAGTCGGCGAGTAGGCAAGTAGGCAAGTAGGCAAGCAAGCGATCTGGAAACCAGATCTGGGAATGGGGAGAGGGGACCATCCCTCAAGCTGCAGTCCGGTGTACCGGTGAGGATGAAGTAGTATACTGTAAGTTATCATCAACCCCGGAATTGGACTGTCCATCCTTCCATACTTCCCATAGTAAATTACACTCATTTGGCTGCCTCTCCGCCTTCCCGCCCAGTGCCTTCCTATTGCAGCAGCTCCTCTCTTCATTTCTACTTCTACTTCCTCTACTTCTTATTCTTCACTCTTCCTCTTCCTCTTCAACTTCTTTTCTTCTCCTTCTTTTCTTCCTCTACTTTTCAATTCAAAACACGTTCCGGGGTCATTCCTAAACCTTCCTTCACTCCTCCTCGGGTAAGTGCTTCCTCGGACCAGAAACTCATTCCCTCCCTAACCCTCCCTCTCTCCCTCTCCCTCTCGACTTTCCCCGCGTGTTGTTCTCGCTCTGCCGTTCCGAAACCGGGCCTTTTTCTTTACCCCCTCGGCCCCCCGTCCCCCAATCCTCCAACTTCCCCCGGAGTTTGTTTCTCCTAAAAGTGACTCACGATTGCTATTTTTCCGGCTATCATTGGTTTGTCGGCTAACTTTTTCAATTCTTATATCTTTTTTATAGTCTCTGCAGCCAGCCCTGTCGTGGTTCTTCCAGAGCTTCTTCCCTGTCTACTTCTCTCTTTCTCCCTCCCCCTCCCCCCCTCCCCACAACGTCATAATCCTCTTATCTACCTTTCTACCTACCCACTTTCCGTCACCGCAGCTTCCCCCCCCACCAGCTCTCCTCCATTACTCTCCTGCCTCTCCTCCTCCCTCTTCTCTCCCTCTCCCCCTCTCTCAACCAAATCACTCACACATAATCACACATTTTCATCATGGCTGCTCCTCAACGCCAGCCTGAGGAGGCAATTGATGACACTGAGTTCATCGACGACCACCATGACCACCACCGGGATTCCGTTCACACCCGTCTGCGCGCCAACTCGGCCATCATGCAGTTCCAGAAGATCCTCGTCGCCAACCGTGGTGAAATCCCCATCCGTATCTTCCGTACCGCCCACGAACTGTCTCTGCAGACGGTCGCTATCTACTCTCACGAGGATCGTCTTTCCATGCACCGTCAGAAGGCCGATGAGGCTTACATGATCGGTCACCGTGGTCAATATACCCCTGTCGGTGCCTACCTGGCCATCGATGAGATCGTCAAGATTGCTCTGGAGCACGGCGTTCACCTCATCCACCCTGGTTATGGTTTCCTGTCCGAGAACGCCGAGTTCGCTCGCAAGGTCGAGGAGGCCGGTATGGTCTTCGTTGGCCCTACCCCGCAGACCATTGAGGCTTTGGGTGACAAGGTCTCCGCCCGTCAGCTGGCCATTCGCTGCGAAGTGCCCGTCGTCCCCGGTACCCCCGGCCCCGTCGAGCGCTACGAAGAAGTTAAGGAATTCACCGATACCTATGGCTTCCCCATCATTATCAAGGCCGCCTTCGGTGGTGGTGGTCGTGGTATGCGTGTCGTCCGCGACCAAGCCGAACTGCGTGATGCCTTCGAGCGTGCCACTTCCGAGGCCCGTTCGGCCTTCGGTAACGGCACCGTCTTCGTCGAGCGCTTCCTGGACAAGCCTAAGCACATTGAGGTGCAGTTGCTGGGTGACAACCACGGAAACGTCATCCATCTGTTCGAGCGTGACTGCTCCGTCCAGCGTCGTCACCAGAAGGTCGTCGAGATTGCCCCCGCCAAGGACCTGCCCCAGGACGTCCGCGACAACATCCTGGCCGATGCTGTCAAGCTGGCCAAGTCCGTCAACTACCGCAACGCTGGTACTGCCGAGTTCCTGGTCGACCAGCAGAACCGCTACTACTTCATTGAGATCAACCCCCGTATTCAGGTCGAGCACACTATCACTGAGGAGATCACGGGCATTGATATTGTTGCGGCTCAGATCCAGATTGCTGCCGGTGCTACCCTGCAGCAGTTGGGCCTGACTCAGGACAAGATCTCCACCCGCGGTTTCGCCATCCAGTGCCGTATCACTACTGAAGATCCCTCCAAGGGCTTCTCCCCCGACACCGGTAAGATCGAGGTCTACCGTTCCGCTGGTGGTAACGGTGTCCGTCTCGATGGTGGTAACGGTTTTGCTGGTGCCATTATCACTCCTCACTACGACTCTATGCTGGTCAAGTGTACCTGCCGTGGTTCCACTTACGAGATCGCCCGCCGCAAGGTTGTCCGTGCCCTGGTCGAGTTCCGTATTCGTGGTGTCAAGACCAACATTCCTTTCTTGACCTCCCTTCTGAGCCACCCCACGTTCGTGGACGGCACTTGCTGGACTACCTTCATTGACGACACCCCCGAGTTGTTCGCTCTTGTCGGCAGTCAGAACCGTGCTCAGAAGTTGTTGGCTTATCTCGGTGACGTGGCTGTCAATGGCAGCAGCATCAAGGGCCAGATCGGCGAGCCTAAGCTCAAGGGCGATATCATCAAGCCCACTTTGTATGACACTCAGGGCAAGCCTCTCGATGTCTCTGCTCCCGCCACTCAGGGGTGGAAGCAGATCCTGGACCGTGAGGGCCCTAAGGCCTGGGCCCGTGCCGTGCGTGCCAACAAGGGCACTTTGATCATGGACACCACCTGGCGTGACGCCCACCAGTCTTTGCTGGCAACCCGTGTGCGTACCATCGATTTGCTCAACATTGCCCACGAGACCAGCCACGCCCTCTCCAACGCTTACAGTCTGGAATGCTGGGGTGGTGCCACCTTCGATGTTGCCATGCGCTTCCTTTACGAGGACCCCTGGGACCGTCTGCGCAAGCTCCGTAAGGCCGTGCCCAACATTCCCTTCCAGATGTTGCTGCGTGGTGCCAACGGTGTCGCCTACTCCTCTCTTCCCGACAATGCCATCTACCACTTCTGTAAGCAAGCCAAGAAGTGCGGTGTTGATATCTTCCGTGTCTTCGATGCTCTCAACGATGTCGACCAGCTTGAGGTCGGTATCAAGGCTGTTCACGCCGCAGAGGGTGTCGTCGAAGCTACTATCTGCTACAGTGGTGACATGTTGAACCCCCACAAGAAGTACAACCTCGAATACTACCTTAGCCTCGTGGACAAAGTGGTTAAGTTCGAGCCCCATGTCCTGGGTATCAAGGATATGGCTGGTGTACTAAAGCCCCAGGCCGCTCGTCTCCTGATTGGCTCCATCCGTGAGCGCTACCCCGACCTTCCCATCCACGTCCACACCCACGACTCCGCCGGTACTGGTGTGGCCTCGATGATTGCTTGCGCCCAGGCTGGGGCTGACGCCGTTGATGCGGCCACCGACAGCTTGTCGGGTATGACCTCCCAGCCCAGCATTGGGGCTCTGCTCGCCTCCCTGGAGGGCACTGAGTACGACACTGGTCTCAACCTGAACCAGGTCCGCGCGCTCGACACCTACTGGGCGCAGCTGCGTCTCCTGTACTCGCCCTTCGAGGCTGGTCTGACCGGCCCCGACCCCGAGGTCTACGAGCACGAGATCCCCGGTGGTCAGCTGACTAACCTTATCTTCCAGGCCAGTCAGCTCGGCTTGGGTCAGCAGTGGGCCGAAACCAAGAAGGCTTACGAGTCTGCTAACGACCTGCTGGGTGACATTGTCAAGGTCACTCCCACTTCCAAGGTTGTTGGTGATCTGGCTCAGTTCATGGTGTCCAACAAGTTGAGCGCTGAGGATGTTGTGGAGCGTGCGGGTGAGCTCGACTTCCCAGCCTCCGTCCTCGAGTTCCTGGAGGGCTTGATGGGTCAGCCGTACGGCGGATTCCCCGAGCCTCTGCGCTCGCGGGCCCTGCGTGACCGTCGCAAGCTCGAGAAGCGCCCCGGTCTCTACTTGGAGCCCCTGGACCTGGCTAAGATCAAGGGCACGATCCGCGAGCAGTTCGGTGCTGCCACTGAGTACGATGTTGCCAGCTATGCCATGTACCCGAAGGTCTTTGAGGACTACAAGAAGTTCGTTGGAAAGTACGGTGATCTGTCCGTTCTGCCCACCCGCTACTTCTTGGCCAAGCCCGAGATCGGCGAGGAGTTCCACGTCGAGCTGGAGAAGGGCAAGGTCCTGATCCTCAAGTTGTTGGCTATTGGTCCTCTTTCCGAGCAGACCGGTCAGCGTGAGGTCTTCTACGAGGTCAACGGTGAGGTGCGTCAGGTCAGTGTCGATGACAAGAAGGCGTCCGTCGACAACACCGCCCGTGCCAAGGCCGATTTGGGCGACAGCAGCCAGGTCGGTGCTCCCATGAGCGGTGTCGTTGTGGAGATCCGTGTTCACGACGGGCTCGAGGTCAAGAAGGGTGACCCTCTGGCCGTCCTGAGCGCTATGAAGATGGTATGTCTCGATCATCCTATATCTATTGTACGACACACAATGCTAATATATACTAGGAAATGGTTATCTCCGCGCCGCACAGTGGCAAGGTCTCCAGCTTGCTGGTCAAGGAAGGTGACTCTGTCGATGGTCAGGACCTGGTCTGCAAGATCGTCAAAGCCTGAAGTAGGATGAACATTGCACGATGTTGAAAGAATCTATGACTTATGTTCCTCGCGATGCGCGCTTGTTGTCGGCTTGGTTGTGAGGATTTGAGGTGTTTTGTGTTCAAGCGTTTCTTTCCGGGTTGGTTTGTTCCCGTTTATTTCATGTTCGTTCTGACCGCGAGCTGGCCATTCCAAACGTAATATCGGCCATATCTATGAATAAGTAGAGTTATTTCTGAGTCACAAACACGCAAAAATCGTACGTCGTAGATAATACTCATACATTTTGTATATGCATGGAATGTCACCTAAATCATGTCTGTTCTCTGGTTGTCAACCAGAAGACCATAGATAAGACACATTTCAATGCCAGTGGATAGGATGGGCTCGAGATTCATGATTATAGCTTCGCAACGGAAGCGCTGTCTGGCTCACCCACCTCCCTCAAGGCCTTCCAGACGCGCATGGCCTCATCCCAGAAGGCATCCTCCTTGATCTGGACCGAGCCATCCGGCATCAGGGTCCTCAGCTGCTTATGACCCACGGTCCCCCACTGAAGATCTGATTCCCCGTGCACGAACTTCTTCAGGGGCTCAACCAGGGCGTTCCAGATCACGGCTTTCTCCTGAGGCTCGACCCGCTCCCCATTGCCCCAGAACCAGATGTACTGATCGGTGGCATGGGTCACGCCCCAACTAGGCGGGAGGGACTTATCGGCGCACTTCAGCCGATACTCGACGCGGTACCGATACACCAGGTTGTCTGTTGTTGATGCCGCCTCCCCCGCCTCCCCCTCCGGTGCCGCCGGTTCCGCCAAGGCATGCACCAACCCCCGCTGCATCTTATGCACCTGCATGTCCGCATAGACACGCCCAAAAGCATCGGTACGCCAATCCCGGACGCCTTTCGGGAGCTTTCCGTCCGGGTAGTACAGCTGCAGGAGGGTCTCGACTAGCGGCCGCGGGTACTCGGCGCTTAGGCGGTCCCGTAGCGCGGGGAGGGAGTCTTCGGTGGGCGGGAACCACGTCGCGTAGAGGTTGCGCTCGTCGCGGCATTCGCCGCAGAGGATGCGGATTTTCCGGGCGCGGAGGCGGCGGGCCCAGGTGCCATCGTCGAGGGAGGTGAAGAGGTCGCTGGCGATGAACGTGCCGTCGGTGGTGGGCCGGAATTGGTTGTTGCTGGGGAGGGCCATGGCGGCCTGGAGGAGGGTTGGGGCGGGGACGGCCCGCAGGCGTTCGAGGCGTTCAAGGCCGGGCAGGGTGCAGGGGATGGACAGCTGGTGCAGGAGCTGCGTGAATTGGGTTTGCGCGGTGGTGGGGGGTTTGGGTTGCGCGACCGGGCTGTTGGACCAGATGCAGACTCTTTTGATGATGGATTGGTCTGGGGGCAGGGAGAGGTCGTGTGAGAGTTGGTGGAAGGTTGAGTAGGCTCCTTTTTTGGGGTGGTTAGTTCAGAGGTTTGGGGTTTGAGGGTAGGGTAGGGGATGGTGAGTTTTGGCACAATGAAGGTGTTTGGGCACCGGGATAGCGTACCTGCTGAGTATCCTGCTACGGTGATCTCGGAGGGATTCCCCCCAAATAGACGAATGTGATCCCGGGTCCATTCTAGGGCCAGGCGTTGATCCCAGAAGCCGTGGTTGCCCACGCTCTCGTTCACGGAGGCGGCGTCTTGCTCCAGCTCGGAGGAGTAGAGGAAGCCGAACACGTTCAGGCGGTAGGCTGGGAGGACGACGATGGCGTTCAATTGGGCTTCTCCGAGAAGAGCGGCAGCGGAGAATGCATTGGGGTCTCCGAATTGGAGGAATCCACCGTCTGAGGTGGTTGTTAATCATCATGGAAGAATCTGGAAAAAGAAGGGAAAGATGACTCACGGATGAAGAAGAGTACTGGCCAGCCTGTTTGATGTTGAGAATTGAGTCTGAGCGCGCGGTTTGTGATATGCAAAGCACATGGGGGATTGTGGGGACAGCAATTGCTTCTGTCCTATCTCCTAGTTGTTGGGGTTGGAGACAGATATCACATACCATTCTCGGGTGCCTTGCCTGTAGGAACCCAGATGTTGCACTGGAAACAATCCTCTGTCCAGCCGTCCTCGGAGACCACATCCAGGAAGCGAGGCTGCGGGCAGATCCCCGTACGTCCGTCCGCACGGCCTGGTTGGTCTTTCGAGCCATACGAGTAGGAGGTGGACAGCTTCTGGGCCTTGCGCCAACGTTGCGGGGGCGGGTGGGCGTAGCGTACCCCGCCAAAGTAGTGGCAGTAGGGTTTGTTGGTGGTTTTCTCGTGCAGAGTAACTCCTTCGATGTAGCCGTGTTGGCCGAGGGGTTGAAGATAGGGATGCTTGGTATATTCCATGGCGATTGTGGTTTGGTTCAATGCGCTGGTGAAGGGGGTGGGGAGGGGACTGGAGAAGTGGACATGTATGTACAGGACTGTAAACAATGCCTCCCGAAAAGACCGGCTTGGGGCTATATAAGGACGAGGAGTCAAAACCGACCGAGGGACTGATAATCGAAACTATTGACAAAAGAAGATTGTTTGACGGATAGCCGAGCTGAGACCAGGGCGCGGGGAATGGTGATTGGCACCAGAGAACAACCCCGTCGGCAGAAGTTGGGATTTCGATGATAAGAAGATGCGGAGAAGAGGAGAAAGAGAGGAAGCCATTCCGCTTCGGCTCATGATCTGGACTCCGACCATGACTGGTGGCCTGAGGCATCAAGGCCGCCACTTTCCCCGGATTCTCGGCTTGACATGCTGCAGCTGGATGAGCTAGCCTGCTGCCTCTCACATTTATCTCGAACAGCTCAAACAAGACAATGATCTCTTCTTTCTAATCAAGATCAGCGAGACAACATTCGATTATCTCCTCTTTCCGATCCCCGCATACGTCAGCCCGGTCCGGTGACTATGACTGGGACTGGAGGAGCATCCATGGATGGATGAATCATGGATGATGATTCATTGCCCATCCTTTTCAACGTCTCCATTATTGGCTCATGTGGCCTAGACTCGTACTTTTGCCCCCCCTCCTTAACGATGAGCTTGTGGTTCTGATGCATCATCATTCCCGGGGTCTGTTTCACAGTATTGTCCCGGACCCCCTCTTCTTGATCCCTCCAGAGGTATATTACCTCCTACTCCGTCGTCCCATCTGCTTAGGTAGATTTATTTTCTTCCAAAAACTCAGTATACTGTTTCCTTGCAAGCCGATTCCAAATCAAGTGCTAACATTATTGTCAACCTCTGGTAAGTGGACTTGACTTCATAATCTGACTTCTTCGAGATATCTCGTTTTTGCTGCCATCAAAATGACGCCGAGACTGTCGTGTCGAATCTTAATCTGCGCGCAAGTGTCATGTAACTTTGTACACACCACAGCGTTTGTACCCTTCTGTACACCACTGTCGCACCTACTGTCACAGGCTTATGCACATCATCCCCATGCATCCCCATCTTGTGTCTCCTGTTCTTCAACTCACGAAGTGAGCAGTGGACACTGCATCTTCGCCCATCCATCTTCCTTCAACCCCCATTCCAACTGAAACCATGAGCAACGACCAGCCACAGTCTCCCCGTCACTGGCACGGAGACCCCGGGAACCGTCACGAGCATCTCAACGTCTGGGTCCGCGGTGGTCCGTCCTCGCCCTACTTCCGCCGTCCTTCGGTGCCAGGCGGATCGGTGTACACTACCGCGACCGGACCGGAGATGACTACCGATAGACGTGTATGTCTTCGTCTATTCTCATGAGCCTTCCTGTATCACATGCCTTTTGTGTTGTGTTCGTCATATGCTATTCAAGCGTTGGAGTCGCAAAAGCAGAGACCAGCAAACCTCATGTAGCAAGCACAGCACAGTCTCTCTCTCTCTCTCTCACAACACTCTACTGACACATCTAATAGGGCTCGAGTTCCTCCGATATGTCTTCCAACTCCACCAACATGTCCAGCAGTCCGCCTCGGGCCCCGGACCGGAGACGCTCCAGTGGCCAAAACTCATCCTTGTTCGAGGGTTTGACTAGTCAGAAGCGGAACTCGGCCGACCCCAACTTTGCATCACGCCGTGAGAGCTATACAGAGCAGGCTCAGACGGGTGGGATGTTCGCCCGGTGGTGGGATGGATACACCCGCGGATCTAACCAGGGAAAGTAAAACCACAGGAGGTGTATATCTTTGGTAGTATGCAACGAGTTTAGTCTTTTGTATCCGCTGTCATATTTTGTTTTGTGTTTGTGGTGAGAGAAAGCATGGGGCGAGAGAAAAGGAAACCACTCAAATGTCCTTGTTGTGTGTATGGGAGCAGAACATGTTGACGGGCTGGTTCGATATTATGTCAAATATGCATCGCAGTCATAGTGTATTCTCATGAGATCAGTGTTCGGCTCAAGAGGTTCATGGCTTCTCTCGTTCAGTCTTGGCCAAGGCCTAGATAGGGTGTTTGTTCAGAGGACGGGTTCCAGGTCAGCAGTAACCCCCGGATGGTTGGTGAAAGGAAATAAACATGGGACATTAGACCCAGAGATTGCAAGGCCGGTATGATCGACCGGGGCATGACATTAAGCATCAAGGTCAAGGCGCTTTTGGACTAGTGCCGTCTGGGGTAAAGAAGTCTAGAGTTCAAAGTCCGATCAATTCGCGTCTGCTACGACCCTACAGCTACGGTCGATCTACATCCAGACTGGAAACACAGAGCCGGGTCACAATGCCCATGCCTCTAGCACCAATCCAGAAAAGAGGACGAATCCTCGAGGGAGATTGCCAAACAAGACAAGACATCCCAACGGGAAGAGGAGAGAAGAGGGAAAGACTGAGTCGCCATCTGGAAGGAACCAAAAGAAGGCGAATTCCAGAAGAGACGAAGCCAACAGGCCGAGATGCACACCTTGCAACTACCGCTTGATAGGGCAGGCAGGAGGCAGAGCAAGAAGACAATGAGCATCCAATGAATTGGATGGCAGCATTTATCATCCAGCAGTACAACTTTTCAATCAATGGTTATGCGGAAAATCATTCACCCTGTGTGAAAGCCTTCATTGAGAGAAAAAGTGGGATGTGTCTTTGAGGAAAATTGGGGGGGAATTTCATATCTCTAACACGCCTAACCTCATTGCCGTGATAGAAACATTTCGTTTCAGAGCAGAGCGACAAAAAAAAGTTGGAAAGAAAAACGCCTGCCCTCTTTCTTCTGTCCATTTTTTTCTTCTTCTTTTCGGTCCCGAGTTCGGTGCCGTTTCCGTCATAAAAGCACATAGCCCTTTCAGAATTGCTTCCTTTTCCCTTCTCCCGTCATTGAAGACTTTCGTAAGGGAGAGAAATCAAGATGACTTCCTAAGGGAAAGGCATTTACCGGACGATACCGTCGAAGCGGTTCTTGAACCACTTGATGGTCTCGGTCTGGTTGATGCGGTGCTGGGAGCCGACTCTGGCCTTGCAGCGGCGGCGCTTGGCAACACGCTCACCGGGGCGGGTCCTATTGGATTACCATTGTCAGGAATCGAGTCGGAGACGAGATCTGGTTGGGGAATATGGTATTCCCCAAAGTCCAAAGGGCCACTCACATGCAGCAGTAGAAGTCCATGCCGTAGATACCGATTCCGGGGTCGTACTTGATACCGAGATCGATGTGCTCGGAGATACCGAAGCCGAAGTTACCGGTCTCGGAGAAGTTGCGCTTGCGGAGCTCGTACTCCTTGACCTTGAGGCCACGCTCGAGGATCTCCTCGGCCTTGGGGCCACGGACGGTGACGTGGACGGAGATCTTTTCGTTACGGCGGATACCGAAGGTACGGACGGTGTAACGGGCCTTGCCTGTAGGTTGCAGAAAAAGTGGTCCATCAGCCCAACTGTTTCCCTCTTTGCGTGGTGCTCTTTTCCTTCCTCTTTTCTTTGTCGTCTTTTCGTTCTTCATTCATCGGATTCGGGATCGGGCGTTCTTACTGTAGACCGGAGTCTGACCGCTCAGCTGCTCGAGCACCTTAGCAGCGCGAGTAAGTCTGTCACCAGACTCGCCGACAGAGATGTTGAGCACGAGCTTCTGGATGCGCAGCTCGCGCATAGGGTTGGCGCTCTTGTCCTTTCCTTCCGACTGCATGGCGAAAAAAATTATGTTAGAAATTTGGGTTCTCTTCGATAGTTTTGCGAGGGAGAAATTCGAGATCGATCGCAAAATCCAGAAATTCTGGACAATGAAGTGCTGGAGATTGAGCTGATGGGAGGGGAACCTACCATGGCGACTGCTTTTGGCGTGAACTGGTCGACTGGTTGAGTGAAAGAGAGACAGGATCGAAAAGTGTGGAAAAGGGAAATGTGTGGGTTGGCCGTGTGGGAAGCGAGAGCCCTTAGTGGCTTGGCATCGGCGCTTCGGCGCCAAGAACGCAAGAGCCGCGCGCTTCACCTGACATGGGCAAGTTGGGAACCTCAAGTCCAGCGGCTCGAGCTCAAGTCAGTCGGTGCCAAAAGTTCCAGCTAGCCTGCTAACCTACTTGCGCGCCTGCTGCCTTTCCCCCCCCCGGATCACGGAGTGAAGTTAACCAGGAAAGAAGCACCTCTTCTTTTCCCCTTCTTCCTGACCCCCACTTCCATTCTTTGAATCCCATCCAAGTCGCATTCGTGCGCAAAACACCGCCTAACATGGCTAACAAGCAGGGCAAGATGGTAAGCTGCGTCACCTCCCCCCACCCCCTCTTCCTTTGATGATGGATGGATTGAGTATCATAGAACAATTTGAGCTAACTGTCTACTTCTTGTAGCAAAACCTCGTGAGTCTCCAACCGTGGTGATGATAATGATGCCATCTGGTGGTCGCCGTGATTCAGCTCTGACTTTGACCGCAGATCAACTACCGGATGAGAGTTACCTTGAACGATGGCCGACAAATGACAGGACAGATGCTTGCATTCGACAAGGTACTACACTTTACTCCGACCTTGCCTGGTTGGATGCATGTTGACATCTCTGCGCAGCACATGAACCTTGTCCTTGCCGACACCGAAGAATTCCGTCGCGTCAAGCGGAAATCTAAGCCCGCCGCCGGGTCGACCACCGCGAGCCTGGTCGAGGCCGAAGAGAAGCGAACCCTCGGTTTGACCATCGTTCGTGGTACTCACGTCGTCTCTTGCTCCGTTGATGGACCCCCACCCGCCGACCCCTCCGCACGTTTGGGAGCAAGCGTCCCCGGTGCTGCCGCTGCCGCTGCTGCTACCCTCGCTGCTGGTCCTGGCATTAGCAAACCCGCTGGACGTGGTCTGCCGGTCGGACTTGGAGGCCCTGCTGCTGGCGTCGGTGGCCCGCCCCCTCCCCCTGGTGGTTTCCCCGGCTTCCCTCCGGGTGGCTTCCCCGGCGCGCCGCCTCCGGGCTTTGCTGGTCGCGGAGGACCTGCTGGAGGACCTCGTAAGTACCCCTTATACTAGCCGTCATTGGCCTGATTGACTGAGCGATAATCTAGCTGGCTTCGCTCCCCCTCCTGGATTTGCGCCCCAAGGTGCTCCTCGTAAGTAACTCTATGTCCTTTGACTATATACTACGTTAACTAACGTCTATTGTGCTGCAGCGGGTGCTTTCCAACCTCCTCCGGGCTTCCAGCCTCCGGGCCAGGGCCGGGGCTATCCTCCTCCCGGGTTTGGCGGACGGTGATTTGATAGTAGGTGGCGTGGCATAATAGCGTACAATCTGACCATGACTTCAAGCATGGCAGAAATCGAGTTGAACGTCGAGCATGAGGCTCAAACCTCTCGCTCATGGTTGGCTTATGGAAGCTTCAACAAATGAAAGCACAGCATCCTCAATTTATCAGGCAAAGGCGTTTCGGCGTGTGCGGATGCTCCTCAGATAAGAAAAGGTCGACTGAAAACAACAAGGCTAGGATCGGCGGAAGCAATGGTAGATATTCTTCCAACAAGCACTGTACTATTCAACTATAATGAGACCCAGAGCTTTATTTTCTTTCACGGTGTCGGACAGGAAAAGCGTATCACTCCGTACTGCATAAAAGCCCCGTAGACCGGAGTCAACGAACTCCGGCAACTGGCCAACACGTGACCTCATCCGAGCCTCTCCGCCCGGCGACGGCGCAGTGACGGGGAGCGCAGCAAAGCAACCCTCGCTCTCTCTGCCTTCTTAACCCGTTCTTCTCCTTTCAGCGTCACTCTCCTCTCAATTAATTCTCCCCTTCGTCGCTCAACATGGCTGCTGTAATCAAGGCAATCAATGCTAAGATCCGTTCCAACAAGGTTCTGGACTATGTCTGCTCTACACGTACGTGTTGCGCCCCGGCTCCCTTCCCCGTGCCCTGACCGAGATCGGCCGGCAATGAAGTCCTGCAGTAAGACGGACAGAAGAGACGACGAAACAGCTTGTCTCCGTCTCACAATGGGCAATTGCTTACAGAGTTGGGATCATGCACATTTTTCAGCTGCTAGTTCATGTCCTCGACTAACCTCTTTATTATCATGCAGATTTCTGGGGCCCTGCCTCCAACTTCGGTATCCCCATCGCCGCTGTCATGGACACCCAGAAGGACCCCGAGATGTACGTTTCACCCAATACCTTCCTTCCTCCCATTTCATTGCGCCTTCACCTTTCGTCCCGCGGCCAAGACGGAAAAGTGGGAGAAGAAGGAGCATCTCGCCCCAAAGAACATTGAAACAATCATAAACACAAAAACAAGAAATCGGAGCCCTGACGCTGATCAAACCCTGCCTCCCACAGCATTTCCGGCCAAATGACCGGTGCCCTCGTGATCTACTCCGGTACCTTCATGCGCTACGCTCTCGCCGTCTCCCCCAAGAACTACCTTCTGTTCGCCTGCCACGCCGTCAACTTCTCCGCCCAGCTGACCCAAGGTTACCGCTACCTGAACTACTGGAAGTGAGTTCTCTCTTTTCCCCCTCAGACCCCTCCCAATATCCGACCTACGTGGTTGTCAAACCGTCCCAACCGACCACAGAAACTAATATCTATCTCAAAAACAGCTGGGGTGGCCGTGAAGCCAAGCTCGCCCAGGCCGCTCAGCAGGGCAAGGAAGCCACCGAAGCCGGGCAATAGACAACGCCTCTTCGCCCTGTCTCTCTCGCTCTCGCTCCTCCCCTATGAGGTTTTCTCGTCCTCTTTTTCTGTGCTGCGGGTGTGGCGGGGTTGGTTCGCCGAATGGAATTGCGGGTGTTTGGAACCTGTATGATGTAGCAGTTAGGTAAGGGGAGAGGGATTTACAGATCATTTTCCTTTATTCCTTTATCCTTTGTCTGTAAGGGGGGGGGCTGGCTGGCTGCTGCTGTTGCTTCTGAATACACGGTTTTGTGGGTTCTCGTGGCTTTCTTCCGGCTCCTCCGCTTTCCGTTACTAGCAAGTTCTTGCATGGCGGGTTGCTTTGGTTTTTTTTTTGTA